ATTTGCACATATGACACGTGAAGAGCAGAGCAGTAGTGCCTGGGCAGAGAACTCAATACTTCCATTGAAACTTACACTTACTTTTCACCAATCATTTCTGAGCTCCTTGCCCCTCTTTCTCCCTCTTTCCAAGATAAATATACCACTTTGCCTCCTGTCTCCTTGCTTGGCCACCCTGCAATAAAGCCTTTTTTTTTCTGCAAAAGACTTGTCTCAATATTTGGTCTTTTCTATTGTGTAGCAGGAAACGAGCCCACACGCTTGGTTACAAATTTGCTGACATCTCCATGTACTCCAGGACTGTTCTCACAGGCAGTGTGGACTACGGAAAAGATAAGTAGAAAACTCCACTTAGTAAATGAAATTCACATTTGGAGATAATAAAATCAAAACCATATTCCATAAGGATAAAACCAGAACACCTCTACCTGTTACTGATACGTGCTGGAGGAAAATCAACATCAAATGACAAAAGCCAGCCAAGTGAGCTGTAACCACTCTGCTGGATGTCTCCTTACTGTCAGTCTGGGTGTTTTCATTGGTTTGCAAACCAGAGTCCCAAACCTTCCAAGGAAGCCATGGTTTAAACCAACATGGTGAATGCAGGCCCACATGCCATCACTTTTGACTAATACAGGTTTTACAACCCAAAGACTGCAGGCTAGCCTGTCACCATCCAAACCAACAGCTGAGGCAAAGGGACCTAGAAATTGGCCAAATTAGAGGGCCTGTCTAGAGGGTAATGCCAAAGCTCCACAGCCACAGATATTTTAATTGTCAACGGGACACCCTGCTAACAACATACACCCAAATCAGGCCATATGACTTAAACCTATTTGCAACAGAATCCAACTCATCACCCATCTGGGAAAAACCTTGGAGAGTTAAAACCTCAGATTTGGCCATCTTTATTGGAGTCTTTAACTGTGCCAGGTGAGTGCCGGCACTTTGGTTCATGATGACAGCATCACAGGTGCCAACATCACCTTGGCTACCTGTGCACCCACAGCCCCTTAACTTAAAAGATATTTGCAAGTCAAGCTCCCAGGCCCAACGCTGCCTTCAAATTAGACAAGTTGTTCAGCATCTTTATAATGCCAAAGAGTCAGAAAAATAAGACTCATACCACTCCAAGTGGGTGTCCACTTGAAAAGGATACCCCAGTCTCACATTCTAGACAATATTGCTCTATCCAGGAGCTCAATGTTGGAGATGACATCGCCCCCTGAGGTGGAGACAACTCTGTCCTGGACACTAAAACCTCTGCTCCAGGGATGCCCAAGACTTGCCCCACCCAAGGTGCTGGCAAACTAGCTCCAGGACATTCACTGCTTTTCTTCCTTTGACATTAGGGATTCTGTTGTGTTTCTTGAGCTCCTGGCCTGCTTATCCCATGATCCAAGTATACTCTTGCTCTCTGCAGAAACATACATCCCTACACGTCTACGCCTAAAGGGAAATCTGTAGAGATTACTACTGTCTGTACCGTTCTACAAATTAATGGAGACTATTGCCTTTCCCAGGAGACAACTGCCACCTATCAGTCAATTCCTCAACCTGCTTGGGAAAGGACAACACACTCCCCAGTGCCTCTCCTCCTCCCTGCCCCAGCTTTCCACCACGAATTCCCACCTGGAGTCTCCCACCATGAGCACCACGACCACCGCTTTCTACTAGTTAACACACGAATACAACGAATCTCTACACTGACTTCACTAACAATCCATACTCTCCAACAACATAGTGGCCAGACCTGCCACACTGACCCGAGAAATTGACCCTATGCTGTTTAGGGCAATGTATGTCCTACACTCATTTATTCAGGCCACTCCAATACCCCAAATAATTGAGCTCAGTATTGACTCAATTTTGCGGCCCTAGCTAGATGAGTTTACCCTCTTAAACGGCCAATTAAGTCCACACTCCCAAGCACCTGCTGAGTTGTACCCTCACACTCTGCACTACCGTACCCCTGCCCTAACTGCCCTAGGGCCAGGTAGCAGAACACTCAGGGACAGCCTCAAGGCCCCAAAGTCCACTGAAAATATTCACATTAGCCAATCCTAAGCCTGCTTGCAGTGCCTGTCCCCTTCCTTCTTGCTGAATCCACAGTACAGGCACTGGATCCACAGTTCCCCCTCTCCTCTGTCTACCTCTGAGTGGCCCTGCACGGTGTGCCGTTTCTTCCCAGGAAATTGTAACTAAACTGTAAAACTTTCTGGATTCTCTCTCTTGTTCTGCAACCTCATGCAAGACAATAGGATTAAAACAGGGTCAGAGTGATAACGGCCAATTGTTAAGCCCCCCCCACACACACACACACAAGTGTCAGCTTCCCATGTCTATTGGGTCAGTTGAGATGTACATGACCCAGCTCCTTACGGAATACCCAACACGATGGCTGTCAGCTTGTTCATAGTGGTCACCAGCTCAGTAGCATACACCTTACTGGCTTTTCCTCCTTTCCTCTGTCATTTCCCCCACTACCTCATTCCTGCTTTTTGCAATCACTTCCCAAATAAACTGCTTACACAAGCTCGTGTCTCACCTGTGTTTTGGAATACAAAAGGAAGACAACAGGAGAACCAAGCAAGGCAACCCAGCCCCTACTCTGATCAAGTCAAAGACAAATATAGGGACTCCATCCAAAAATAAATTGATACCCACCTTAACACTCCCACCAATAATTAAGGAGTGGACAGGTCCCCAAGCTAGCAATCCCAACACAATCACCCAGCAGAATCAATTATCACCACCAGGAGAGTCAGTAGTACTTCTGTTGTGTTTTTCAGAACATCTGATTTGTCCATTGACAGCTACCACTTAATGCTGGGAACATCTGCTTGGTGGAACCTCAGTCAGATACAGGATTTTAGCTGCAATGGATACTGGTTTCCATTGCTGTGTAAGAAATTACTGCAAACATAATAGTTTAATAAAACGAAATGTACTCCCTCACATCTGGAAGACAAAAGTTCAAGATCAGTGTCACAGGGCTGAAACCAAAGTGTCAGCAGGGCCAATCTCCAGAGACTCTAGGGGATAATCTATCCCTTCCAGCCTCTGATGGCTGCTGGCATTCTTGTGGCCAAATCACTCTATATCATCTATCCCTTGGTGGTTTCAGGAATTTCTTAAGTGTCAAATCTTCTCTCATTTATAAGAACACTTGTGATTGCATTTAGAGTGTACCTGGACAACCCAAGATAATCTCATCAAAAAATCCTTGATTTAATCTGTACAACTCTTTCCATATAAGGTAACATACACAGATACCAGAGATTGAGATCTGATATCTCTGGGGGCCATTATGCAGTCTTCCATATCTGGGAAAGAGCTTTTACCTTTCAAGCTTATTTAATGAGCAAAGGCCTGCTGCCACAGTGTTGGACTGGTTGCACGTTAAGTGAGCCATTATACATTATCTACTATACTCCCCCAACAGCAAAATTAGTCATCTGATAAACTCTCACCCACAGACCCAGAAGACAAAGAAAGGTACGGCAAGCCAGGAAGGGGCTCAGCCCTGACTTGGAAGAAACAAGAAGTTTAGCAACTCTTGGGACAAACACAGGGTAAGCTGAGAAGGAGGCTGAAACTGAGGGACAGGAGGTGGAAGGTGGTGGGGGGAGAAGGTATCAGAGCAATAAAAGAAGGAAAATAGGAGGAAGAAGACTCCAAAGTTTTCCAATGTGACAAGAGCTCCTGGGAAACCAAGGGCCGAATGCTGGGGGGAAGTGGTTGAGGTGGAGGCAAGGGATCAGGCCTGGGAGAAGAGATGCTACCGGTAAGACGTGAGCATCCGCTTCAGTTCAAGGTGGAGGAAGGGAATGTGTTCCAGAGGAAATGTGCGTGTGGCTTTCATCTAACGGAATGGATCACAATTTGACATATCGTGAATCCCAGAACTTTTTTTTAAGGATTTCAATCAATTTGAAATAAAAGGTTTAAAAACAGTTCAAATGAAAAGAGCCCTCTGGGAATTCCTTGGCGGTCCAGTGGTTAGGACTTGGCACTGTAACTGCCAGGGGCCGGGATTCGATCCCTGGTTGGGGAACTAAGATCCCACAAGCTGTGTGGCATGGCCAAAAAAAAAGAAGGAAAAATAAAATTTTTTTTAAAGAGGAAAAGAATAAAGAGAAGAAAAAGAGCACTCTGGGCAGGAGATAGGACTGAAGCAACTAGTTATAAAATCAGGCTTTGTCTCTTGGAAAAGGGAAGACGACTTCACTCAGCACAGAGCCTTGGAAATCATCCCCTGAAACACTGTACCCTAATCAAGGAACTGATGGTGTGTCCTGCTAGACTTAGCCAGTGATGGCTAAGTGCCTCCCCATCCCACTGCCCCTTGAATGGACTTGCTGTTGGTATCCCATCTCTGTGTTACCATTGCCTGTTGAGTGTTTGCAGGGCAGGTGACTGGTCACTTCAGGTCACACATCTTCAGATTCAGAGCAACCACGAACATGGAACTGTGCCCAAAGAGCCTATGTGTACCTAGACCTGATACAGATGACAAGATCCTAGATTTCTGTGCCAACAGCTTTATAAAATGAGATTTGGGGGAGACTTAGTAGAGTATGAGTATTTTTTGTATGTGGAAGCTATGTGAACTCTGTGGCCATACAGTGGACAGTATCATACTATATTTTCCAAAGATGGTCGCATTAACATGTCCCATCCTGCGCACTCTTCTGCAATGTGCTCTTGCAACATTTCCATCAAAGACGGAGAGTCTATTTCTCCACTCCTCAGAACTTTCATGGGCCTTGCAACTTCTCTGAATATGAAAAGGCAGAAGTGGCACTGCGCTGGTACCAGGAGTAGCTCTGCCAAATGTTCCTTTGGAGGCAAAATCATCCCCATTAGAGAATGACTGGTCTACAGTCTTAAATTTTTCAATACATTAATATTTCTATCTGAAAAATTTCATTCACATTACCTAAGCTGATAGTTTTCTTTTCATTAGAAATTCTCTGATGTACATAAAGTTGTTTTATTGAAAACTCTGACACATTAAAGATATTTATAAGGCTTTACTTTATTCTCAGTGTTCAATGAGCTGTCTCTGCCTGATAAAGGCATTCCTACATTTCTTGCATTCTTTGTCTCTTCATATGACTTGATTTTTCCATCAATTGACTGGGGATGAAAGATGACACCACAAGGAATTGTGTTGAATTTTCTACACAATTTGTGTGAATTTTCTACACAAGGACTGGTAACTTCTCACAGAAGTCTGTCTCAAATTCATAAAATGAACTGGCCACAATGGACTGGTAGTGTTGTAAATAGATTACACATGGGAGGGCCCAACAGTGAATATTTATTTCTCACTCAGATAAAGCACAAATGAACATTTTTCTTGGTAGAGTTGGGAAAATTTCTGCTCTCCATAATCATAATCAATTTTTTCTGTCTTAAGTCATGGTTGCCATCTCCACCCAGTGGCTCCCAAGGCAAACTGGGGTGGGGGTGTGGGGAGCAGATTTGCACTTCAGAATCACAGGGCATAAAAAGTCAGCAGGAATGCATGGAATGTTTTTGGTTTTTTTCTTCTGACCTGGCCTGGAATTAATGTTTATTGCTTGTGTTCAAATTCTCCTGGCCACAGCTCAGCTATATGGTCCCACCCACAGTAAAGGAAGGCTGAGAAATGCAGGCTAACTGTGTGCCCCAAAGAAAAAGAAAGTGAGTTTGGGTGTACAGACAGCCAGTCTCTGCCATACATGATTTCTCCTCTGTGTGAGTCCTCTGATGTTTGCTGAGGTGTGATTTCTGGCAAAAGGTTTTTCCACATTCATTACATTCATAGGGCTTCTCTCCTGTGTGAGTTCTTTGATGTACAGTGAGGGCTGACTTCTGGAAGAAAGTTTTCCTACATTCTTTACATCCATAGGGCTTCTCTCCTGTGTGTGTTCTCTGATGTCTATTGAGGGTTGACTTTTCACAAAAGGTTTTCTGACATTCGTCACATTTATAAGGTTTCTCACCTGTGTGAGTTCTCTGGTGTACAGTGAGTTGTGACTTCTGGTAGAAAGTTTTACCACATTCTTTACATTCATAGGGTTTCTCACCTGTGTGAAGTCTCAGATGTACAGTGAGTTTTGGCTTCACACAGAAGGATTTCCCACATTCATTACATTTATAAGGTTTATCTCTTGTGTGAGTTCTCTGATGTACAGTGAGGGCTGGCCGGTGTCCAAAGGATTTCCCACATTCTTTACATGCATAAGGTCTCTCTCCTGTGTGAGTTCTCTGATGTGCAGTGAGTACTGACTTCTTATGGAAGGTTTTACCACAATCATTGCATTCATGAGGTCTCTCCCTATTGTGAATCCTTTGATGAACAGTGAGGGCTGAATTCTGGCAGAATGATTTCCCAAATTCATTACATTCATAGGGCTTTCCCCCAGTGTGGATTCTCTGATGAACAGTATGGCCTGATTTATGGCAGAAGGATTTCTCACGTTCAACACGTGCACAGGGTTTCTCTCCAGTGTGTACTTTCTGATGTTTAGTGAGATTAGACTTTTTATAGAACGTTTTACCACATACATCACATTCAAACATTTTCTCTAACTGAATTCTCTGAAGCTGAGTGGGATGTAATTTCTGGCAGAAATTATTCCCAGTTTGATTACATTTATGCTGTTGCTCCTAGAGATCAGCTCTGTGAAGATTCAACTGTGTTGGTTTCTTACAAAAGGTATTCCCCCATTTGTTACATCTATAGTGATTCTCCCCTATGTGAGTTCTCTCTTGGGCAATGAGAGCTGACTTACCACAGGCCTTCCAATATTTCTTATATTTGTAAGCCATCTCACCCATACGAACCATCCTATGTGTACAGAATATTGCTTCCTTGATGAAGTCTCTCCCTTGTCTGTTACATTCAAAAGGTTGCTGCAGAGTTTGATTCTTCTTCTTATGCCTAGGGTACTCAGCATATCTGAGGGATTTCCCAGTTCTATTACTATCCTCCGGTTTCTCTCCAGCATGCATCTCATCAGGCTCACTAGGAAGAAACGTGTTCTTACACATATTCAACATTTCTGGCTTCATTTCTGAATAGTTACCATCATTTATCATCAGTTTTGAAATATGAATTGGGCTCAAATTAAATGTTTTTCCTAAGTCAGCTGTCCCCTTAGTTGACGTTTCATTGCTGGTGATTACAACTTGCCACAAACGTCTACCGTGATTTTCCTGGCTGGTCTCAATCATGTCATCCACAATCTGGACATCTAAAAGGAGATAAACATAATTACAGGTCATACCTTTGAATCACATATAAGTATTTCCTATGGAATGGTTTGTAAAGGTAAAGAAGTTTCTTTTCATCCTAGCAGGATATGATTCTTTAAAAAATCAATAACGGGGGACTTCTCTGGTGGCACAATGGTTAAGAATCAGCCTGCCAATGCAGGGGATACAGGTTCAAGGCCTGGTCCTGGAAGATCCCACGTGCCGCAGAGCAACTAAGATCCTACATGCTGTGCACCCCAACTACTGAGCCTGTGTTCTAGAGCCTGCGTGCCACAGCTACGAAGCTCACATGCCTAGAGCCCGTGCTCTACGACAAAGAGAAGCCACCACAGTGAGAAGCCCACGCACCACAACGAAGAGTAGCCCCCGCTCGCCACAACTAGAGAAAGCCCGCGCTCAGCAACAAAGACCCGACGCAGCCAAAAATAAATAAATAAATATTTTTAAAAATCAATAATGGGTACTGATTTTATGTGATTTTTCTCCCTAATGAATTAATGTAAGAACCTTCATTGATAGGTTTTCTAATGTCAAATCATTGGGTTTTTTGTTTTTGTTTGGTTTTGCTTAAGTTTTTTTCTTTTCTTTTAAATTCTTTTCAATGAGGAAGTATTAGGTCAAAATATTTACTTACTGTCTAAATGTAGATTTCAGCTGACAGCTTTTCATCTACCATTGGTTTTCCATTCATTATCTCTACCTTTCTTCTTATAATTGTGGGTAACTTGTGCTAGCCCTTTTCTGATAGCTCAGCTTTGAAGATGGCATGATTTTCCTGGATAAGTTACTTACAGGATATGGGAGAGGGCCACTTGTCTGTCACCTAAACAAGAATACTGCTTAGAGAGAAGAACTTTACACCTATGTTTGTTTAGTTTTTACTTCTCCCTGGGGAACACCTATAGGCACCTGTGGGTTTTTCAAAGGCTTAATTTTTTTTTCCATGCTAGACAAGGGAGCTTTCTGCAAATTCCTAACTTAACACTATACCCTTGGCTTCTCAGAACCCTAACAAGTTCACGAAACTCTAATTCATCACTTTGTGAAACTCCTCCCTGCTGGTCTGAAGGATTTAGGTTCTGCAACCCAGCATGTGCCCACCATCTTCGAAAAGCTTTCTCTGGGTGCTTCTGAGACCAACAGCCAAGGCATTTTCACCTCACTTCATGGTGCGAGTGACTCTACTTGATAATTCACTGCTTCTGAAGATATTAACTTTACTGTACTTTACAGTTTCAGCTGTCCCTTAGTTGTATTGAAACTGGCGTCCCATGTATACTTCTCATTCTTTTTTTTAAAAAAAAAAAAAAAAATGATCTTCACAAGAGAAAGTAAAAAAAATCTTAATTTCAAACTCCACTCCCAAAGTATGAAATTCTTGGTTTCACTGGCCTTGGACCCATAGTCTCTAGTTTATCCTCCCGTGTCACAGGCCACCGCTTTCCACGGTGAACAGTTTTCTGGGTCCTTCTCAGCCTCATGGTTTCTGATGTAGTGATTCATGAGACCTGTACCTGGACCACTTCTCTCATGGTCTTAATAGGTGCATAGGCCACCTCCTCTACTCCTACCAGTCTTGAGTTAATGATTTCCTAATTTGCATCTCCAGCAGTGATGTCCATCTTCTACTCCAGATTTTACATGCATGCATATGTTCCATGTCAAAATGGAATACAGTCATCTCAAACGTAAGCTCTACCAACACAAACACTTAATCTCCCCTAAATGTGCCTTCTTAACACCCTTCTGGAAACACCATACTCTTATTATCCTCTCTCTCATCCTTGTTTAACACTTTTGTGGCTCTGATTTCACTACTAAACATGTACATTTGTTTCATTTTTCTCTTTCAACAAAATATAAGCTCTATATAAAAAGGACATTTCGGGACTTCCCTGGTGGCACAGTGGTTAAGAATCCACCTGCCAATGCAGCAGACACGGGTTCGATCCCTGGTCCAGGGAGATCCCACATGCCGCAGAGCAAGTAAGCCCATGTGCCACAGCTACTGAGCCTGCACTCTAGAGCCCGTGAGCCACAACTACTGAAGCCTGTGCACCTAGAGCCTGTGCTCCGCAACAAGAGAAGCCATAGCAATGAGAAGCCTGTGCACCGCAACGAAAAGTAGCCCCCGCTCACCACAACTAGAGAAAGCCCATGTGCAGCAACAAAGACCCAATGCAACCAGAAATAAAAATAAATTAATTTTAAAAAGGACATTTCTTTGATTACTGCTGTTATCCACACATTTACAAAATTTACCAGTGTGTAAAACTTCCCAATTAACATGTTAAAAGAATAAATGAATGTACGACTAAATGCCCAAAAGAAAACAGTCTCTGAGAATGAACAAAAAGGAGGCCTATTGGGACTTCCCTGGTGGTCCAGTGGTTAAGAATCCTTCTTGCAATGCAGGGGACGCCAGTTCAATTCCTGGTCAGGGAACTAAGATCCCACATGCTGTGGGGCAACTAAGCCTGTGCGCCTCACCTAGAGAGAAGCCCGGGCACCACAACAAATTGAAGATCCCACGTGCTGCAACTAAGATGCGACGCAGCCAAAAAATAAATAAATATTTTTAAAAAACCAAAAAAGGCGGCCTACTGAGAATCTAGGGACAGTGACTAACCAAGAAAAAATTCCAAGAGGAGGCAGGTGGGCACCGGTTTTTGGTAAGTCTAAGAAAATAGTCAGCAATTAACAAAAAGGGGGAGGTTTACATGTGAGAGCCATATCTGGAGACTGAATAATGCATGAGTCTGATACATGCAGACTGAAGTCTGTCCCAAGGTATGAACTTGGAGAAAACAACTGGTGAAAAAGAGCTCAGCACGGCCAACATCTGCTGTGCACTCGTCTTCCCAACCTCCCTGCTCAGTGTGCACTGACTGGCCCGGGAAACCCTGGTCTGGGGTTTTTCTTTTACAGTCCATGGTGCTGCTCCTTGCTCCAACTTGATGATCACCTCAGGCCTGGTAATGCAATGCCCTGTTGATGAGAAATACTGTAGGACTTTTGCCAAACTGTTTATGTTTCATGGGCTCTTGAAAAATGCCAACAGCACAGCCTCAAGAGTAGTGCAATGAAGGGTCAATCTGAACCTCTGACTGGGGGGGTGAACACACGTTCTTCCTGGCCCAGAATCTTAAACCTAAGTAGCATTTCATTTCACAAACAACTGTACATTTACCAATGAAGAAAAACGTGCTTGCACTTGGCAGTTACTAGTGGAGTTTTGCTCACCCAGTGACACCAGGCTACTGTAGTTCTCCAGCATGACATCCCTGTATAGGGTCCTCTGAGCATCATCCAGGTCCTGTCACTCCTCCCAGGTGAAGTTCACAGCCACATCCTCAAATGACACCAACCCCTGTAATGGTACATTTTTCCTCAATTCAAGGCATCAGCCTGGGTCAAAAGAACAGGAAGTCTAGGAATTCATTCTTATGTGTGTGTTTTATCTTACACAGGATATACCATACCATGCTTTGTACTCTATATTGTGGGATAAAGAGAAATCATCATAGAAATACCCTACGTCTGTGTTAATTTAGTAGTTCTTCAAAGTACCATCATAGTTTCCCTTATAAATCTGGAATGGTCCTCATTGCCAAAGATACAAGGAACATATGAGCTGGTATGGAGACATAAGTACAAACACTTACCTGGAATAATGTGTTAGATGAACCAGGTTACACACATATTTAAGGTAGCCTGGGGTATCAAGGGAGAAAAAGAATAGTTGTACTTTGTACTGTCAGGTTGCACTTCACTGAAGAGCTAAACATGTCAGCTGTTCAGTGTGAACCACATGTTCTCATGAATATGAGGCAAGAGCTGAAGTCAAGTTGAGAGGCATAAAGAACAGATGCCACTTTAATAGAAGTACAAGCAGCACCACATCCAGGTGGGTGCTCCTGGGCTGAGATAAGAGATAAAGACAGTAAAGGTATTCAAGGAACTGATTATAAAGTTACCCTGCATTTAAATATATGACCTAACTCCATCAATAAAAAACCTTACGTGCTCACCATTTTTTTTTAAAAGTATGTACACATGCATCGTAGAATTTTCTTCTTATTACCTAAGGAATTGCTTATGTCTACCCAAGAGTGAACATGACCCACTTCCTAAACAACAGGGAGTGAATAATGAGGGGCTGCTAACGAGAGGTAAGCTACATAACCAGATGTGCCCTTTAACAGTCATCATCCAGCAGGAGAATGGAGAAGGGCTTAAGGGAGAATCAGAGGAGAAAAAACCAGAGGGAGAAATGACCAACTATACTAGGTAACAGAGGTAACAGAGGAAGATGAATACAGAACAGGGGACTAATTCCAAAACAGAAAAAAAGAAAAAGAATTTGGTACTCATTTGCTCTGAGAAGGTGAAGGGAAAGTTTTACTACCAGGCTGTCTGCACAACAAGCTGGTAGATACTAGCGCTATAAACTGATATTGGGATAAGGACAAAGAATAGGATTTGCAGAACGGACACAGATCTTGGACACAGCATGTTTGAAGTTTGAAATTTCTGTGGTCAAATATGTGAAGATGTGCAACTGGCAAATGGATATATGCTCTTGAGCTCAGGAGAGAGATACAAGATGAAGAAAAGGATTTAGGAAACAGCAATATTTTAGTGGTAGCTGAAGCCGGCAGAGTGAATAAAATTGCTCAAAGAGAACATAAGAGATTGAAAGGAGAAAATGAACAAGTATGGTGTTTTAGGAAACACTGATATTTACTGACAGAGAAAGAAAAACAGACCATGACAATGGAGAAGAAATTTTTAATTATTCTAGGAATAGAGAAAGCCTCAATATTAAGAAATCTATTAATACAACTCATCATATTTGTAGTTCAGTGGAGAAAATTCTAGATGCTAAGTAGACATCTATAAAAATACCCTCTCATTTGTAATAAAAAAAACTTAAAAGACGATTCACGGGATTTTTCCTTAACATGATAAACGTGTATGTCTTAGCCACAAGTGGAAGCCAGCATCACACTTATGGGGAAACATGCAGTTCATCACCATAGTTATTAACACTGTACTAGTAGTGTCAGTCAACACAATTAAAGAGAGAAAAACAGCACTGAAAATGATGATGGTTTCCATATAATTCATACTTGGAAAACTGAAGAGAATCACATGACATCCAAGTACTCCACATAGGAAGATTTAATAAGTTAGTAGCTTATATAACTAATATAAGGCTTTTATATAGACCTTCATATACATGATACTCACACAACCACAATAACAAGAAGACAAAACACCTAGCAATACATTTAACAAAATAATGTACAAAATTTATGAGGCGGGGAAAAAACCCTGAAGGATACAAAAAAGAACTAAACAAATGAAAAGACACACCATGTTCACGGATGTGAATGAGTAGCACACATCATGGCAAGCTGATTTAAAAGTTCTGTGGAAAATTAAGAATAAACATGTGGTAGGTTATATTTCTGTCCAGCTAAATTCAGTGCCATAGACTGGGTGGCTTAAACAACAGAAAACTCTTTTCTTACAATTCTAGAGGCAGGGAAGTCTAAGATCAAGGTGCCAGCCAATTCATTTCCTGGTAAGAGCTCCATTCCTAGCTTGCAGATGGCTGTGTTTCTGCTGAGTCCATATATGGCAGGGAGGGAGGGAGAAGGAAGGAAAAGATCTCTCTCTTCCTTTTCTTATAGGGCCACTAATTCTATTGGAGTAACGGCCCCACCCTACGACCTCATTTAAACTTGATTAAATGCATTGGGAGTTAAGGCTACAGCATATATATTTGGGGGGAATATAATTCAGTTCATAGCACTCCTTGCAGTGCCTTTCTCTGTAAAAGGATGTATATATCCCCTTGCGCTGGAACTCACATATAAACAGGTTTGTAATTCCCCACCTGTCTTGCTTTGACCACTGACATGTGAATGGAAGCATTACTCCTAAACAGAACCTATTTAAGAGTCACACAATGATCACCGTATTTCCCCTTTACCATGTTCATCCTCAGCAATATGACAGAAAGAAATACTCCTCTGTCTGGGATGCTGCATGATGCTGAAAGGAGCAAAACTAAAGCTGACCCATGAAGGACAGGTAATAGCACTGAGAAAGAAACCTTTCTTCCTGACCGAACTGGTAACTGAACTGGCACCAAACCAAACAGAAACAAACACCAACAATGGCAACAAGTAGTGCAAAGAAACTGTGAGGATGGTGTTACAATGGACCATGGTGTTACTTAAGATAACTGGTAGTTATATACTTACTGTTACTTAAGCCACATGAGTCGTACTTCTTAAATCAAATAATGTTTACCTCATGGACTTAAAATCTTAGAAAAAGAGGCAGGAAATCAAAATGTGAGTAGTAAATCTCAACTACTAGTCACCGCTTCTGACAAAGCAATATAGGAAAATGATGAGCTAAGGGGAGGAAAGAAAAAACAGATTGCAAGGAGGGATGAAAGAAAATAAGCAGAAGCTAGAAATTTGGGGTCTTGTGGAGTAGGAAAACTCTCAAAACATTTCTTTACCTTTTATTGTGTTAAGGCAGAAAAAGTTGCCTCTTTCAGTTCTTACAGAAAAAAATACAATGAGAAATACTTTAGGAATCAAAAGTAATTATACTGAACTGTATGACAAGTAACAAATGAAGAATATAACTATGACAGTCACTGTTAAAACTTAAGAATGGCTTGAGCTGGCCCACAATAAATCCCTTCTGCTGCACAAAATGGCAAAGACTAAGGATGAAATACTTCAGAAAAAAACAAAAGCTTACAGTCTAAAAAATATATAGATACATGAATACCAAAAACAAAGAAAGGTATGTCTCAAAAAGCTCAAACTGGCTGAAATCAAAGATATAAACCCAACTATATTTTTTAGGGTTGTACTGTCAAAAACCAACCAAACTGAACTAAAAAGTACTGACAGTTTAAGATTTAAAGAGGCTGCTTGAGACTATCGACAAGAGGCATATCAAAAAAAGCAGCCCAGCCACTGAGGAAGGCATATTTATTTTTTTATTAGTTTTTAATTTTATACCTAATCTTACATTATTCCACTTTTATTGAAGTATAATTGACAAATAAAATTATATATATTTAAAGTGTATAACCTGCCGATTTGATAAATGTATGCATTATGACCTGATTACTACAATCAAGTTACTTAACACACCCATCACCTCACCGTTACCCTCTTTGTGTGTATGTGTGAGAACACTTAAGATCAATTCTCATGGCAAATTGCAACTAAACAATAAATTATAAACTATGGTCTTATAGTCACCATATTGTACATTAGTTCCTCATAATTTATTCATCTTATAATTAGAAGTTTGTACCCTTTCACCAACCTTTACCATTTCCCCCATCCCGACAACCACCTAATGTTCTAATGTTTTCATGAACTCAACTTTTTAAATTTTTCCTTCCACAGTTAAGTGATACCGTAAAGTAGCCTTTCACTGTTTGGCTTATTTCACTTAGCATAATGCCCTCAGGTTGATCTATGTTGCTGCAAATGGCAGAATCTTTCTTTTTAATGGATAAATAACATTCCCCTAGATATATATACCACATTTGCTTTATCCATTCATCTGATGACTGACACTTAGGTTATTTCTGTATCTTGGCTGTTGTAACACTGCAAGAAACACGGGTGTTAAGATACTTCTTTGAGATACTGATTTCATTTCCATCAGAAATATTCCCAGAAGCAGATTTCCTGGATCACACAGTTCTATTTTTAAGGTTTCTTATTGTTTCTTTCTTCCTATCTATCTATTTATCTATCATCTATTTGGCTGCGCTGGGTCTTAGTTGCAGCACGCGGGATCTTTGTTGCCGTGTGCAGGATCTTCACTGTGGCATGCGGGATCTTTAGTTGTGGCATGTGGGATCTAGCTCCCTGACCAGGGATTGAACCTGGGCCCCCTGCATTGAGAGCACGGAGTATGAGCCACTGGACCACTAAGGAAGTCCCTATTTTTAAGTTTTGAGAAAACCTCATATTGTCTTCTAAAATGGCTGTATAAATTCCCACCCTAGCGTAAAAGGTTTCCTTTTAACTACATCCTCACCAACACTTGTGATCTCTTGTCTTTTGGATACTAGCATTAAACAGGGGTGAGGTGATATCTCATTGTGGTTTTGATTTGCATTTTCCCAATGATTACTGACATTGAGCACCTTTTCATGTACATGTTGGACATCTGTATGTTTTCTTTGGAAAAATGTTTATTCAGGTCCTTTGCCCATTCTTGACTTGGTTATTTTTTCCTATGAGTTGTAATGAATGCCTTACATTTTGGATATTAACCTCTTATCATATATGACTTGCAAATTTTTCTCATCTC